CTTGGGTTGAGCGCTAGTGTTTGAGGTTCCTTTATCACATGATTCATGAAGCTCTTCAAGGTTAATTTGCCTCCCATTATCCTCTTGGCATATGAGTTCTCTCTTTCGGAAAACCCCTCTCCTTGCAACGAAGACAACATTGTCACTCCATCTGTAGAAGAGATATCCAAAGGAATTCAATGGATAGCCGATGAAAATAAACCGCTGACTGCAAGGTTCAAGCTTTTCATGAGTCTCTCATCTTACGAAAGCCTCGCAACCCTAAAACTTGATATGTGCCAATGAGGGAACCTTCCATGTCCACATTTCGTGAGGTGTTTTGGCAACCTTCTTAGTTGGGACTAGATTAAGGATATGGGCGGCAGTATCTAAGGCACACCTCCAAAATGAGATAGCTAATGAAGCTCGAATCATCATGAAACTAACTATGTCGAACAAGGTTCAAATGCGCCTCCCAGCCACACCATTTAGCTGTGGTGTCCTAGGCGGTATCAATTGTGAAACAATTTCACATTCCTTAAGATAGTCATGGAACTCGATACTAAGATACTCAACTCCTTGATCGGATCAGAGCATCTTTATCTTCTTGCCTAATTCATTCTCCACTTCTTGCTTAAACTCTTTGAATTTTTCAAAAGTTTCTAAGTTATGCTTGATTAAGTAGATATACCCATATCTGCTATAATCATCGGTAAAAGTTACGTAGAAGCGATTTGCATCCCTTGTGGTGGATCTAAAGGGCCCACACACATCGATGTGTATGAGATCCAATAATCTCTCACCTCTTTCACAAGTGCCAATGAAAGGTGATTTAGTCATCTTTCCAAGAAGACAAGATTCGCACGTGTCATCTTACCTTAGGTCAAATGATTCCAACACTCCATCCTTTTGGATTTGGGCTATGCTCTTCTTGTTGACATGTCCAAGACGACAATGCCATAAGCATGCCTTGTCCAAACCATTGGACGAATCATTATGCAACACAATATTTCCTAAGTTGTCTACAGCCATCAGAGTTTCATATATACCATTACAAGGCAATGCTTCAAAATAGAAAGTACAATTATAAAGAGCATTAATAGAACCAATTTCATTATTAAACAAAAATCTAAAACCTTGTTTATACAAACCATGAAATGAAATAATATTCCTCGTCATTTATGACGAGTAGCAACAATTATTCAACTCTAAACCTAACCCACTACTAAGCAATAAAGAATAAACTCCAATCTTGGTGACAGGCGATGCTCTCCTATTCCCCATGATCAAGTTCATCTTCCCGTGCTCCACATCCCTACTTGTTCTTAGACCCTGCAAATCAAAACAAATGTGAAAACCACACCCTGTGTCAATGACATAAGAACTAGCATGTGATGAGTTATTAGACTGAATAGTGTAAATACCTGCGAAGGTGGGCTTTATCTTCCTATCCTTGATATCTTGCAGATACTTTGGGCAGCTTCATTTCCAATTCCCTTTATCGTGACAGTAGAAGCACTCTATGTCTTTTGGATTAGACGAAGGAGAAGCAGAACCACCTTTGGTTCCACTTGAAGAAGAACCATCATGAGACTTTCCCTTATGGATCTTAGAAGGAGCTTTCCTCTTCTTCGCCTTCCTTGTGCATTTTCCAAGATAGGGGCAGCAGCAGTAGGAGTTGATGTGAAAGCTTTTCCTTTCAAGCCGGTTTCAGCAGCTCTTAACAACCCTTGAAGTTTGCTCAAGGTCACCTCATCCTTGTTCATATGATAAGTCATCTTGAATTGTGCATAACAAGGAGGTAAAGAGTGGAGGATAGTATCAATGGCCAACTCTTCATCAAAGTTGACATTCAACTTGAGCAAACAATCCACATATATTTGCATTATTTGCAAGTGGGTCGTGATGGACTCTCCATCCTTCATTTTGATTGTTATTAACGAGGCAACTATCTCGTACCTCTCCTGATGTGCACTTTGATGGTACTTTTCCATCAAATCTCGGTGCATGTCATAAGGCCAATAGTCCTCGTCGAAATTTTGAAGCTTGGGAGTCATAGTGGCTACCATGATGCATGACACCTTTGTCGCCTCTTTGGGAGTAGCAGTAGTTTCATTGATCTCGACGAGTTCTTTGTCGATAATATTTTCCTTGTCCTCGTACCTTAGGGCCATGCAAATGTTGCAAATCTAATCATTAAAGTTGGAACCATCAAATGTGCCCCTCCTACAAATGCCCAAAAGAGAAAGTGGGTTCGAGGAGTTGGCGTTGGAGGAGTTTAAGCCTGACATCAGAAAAAGAAAAGAGACAAAGTTTAGATTAGATAAGAATCCTTAATATAACACCCAAATGAAATATTAAGTCTAGGACCCAACACAATATTCTACAACTCGGAAGAGGGCTGCCGTAATCCAATTGCAAAATATTTGAAGGTAGGTAAATGACGATTTACCAATTTCCACCATGAAAAACGAAAATGAACGTTAGGTTTTAAACAAATTGAAATTCCTAGATTCTTTTAGATTCATTTAACTTTTCAATGGCATGTTTCAATCTCGATTATGCCCTTCAAGTTTGTGACTAGGATACCGAGGATCACAAACAAGGTGTGAATAACCATGCAAATGTGCTTGGTACTCTTGATGCCACTTATTACCTAATCAATGTTCCGGTTAACTACACACGCTTCATTGATCTATAATAAACATCGAGCTACCCTTTGCCACCCTTGTTAGTCCAAGTTAGTATGTCGGTTAACCACACACGATCCACTAACGGCTTGGCAAGGTACAAAGTGTAATTTCATGGAATAGCATCATTTTCACATTTTGCCTAAAGTAACTAAGATTGGAAATTTATGAAAAACATTTAGTTACTTTATAATACTCATTATACTTATTAATGAGGAATTATTTTGTCATATCCTACCCGTTCGGCTAACGATCCTCCACCAATCAAGGAAACGGTGGGTGAGAGTGGAGACTCATTCAACCTCCATTTTATAGGTAGTTTCCTTATGCACCCCCTCCCCCTCCTTATAGATCAGCTTCGTGAATGAGGCCTACTAACGGTAAGACTGACTCATCTTATACATACATACATACATATATATATATATATATATATGTGTGTGTGTGTGTGTGTGTGTGTATATATATATATATATATATATATATATATATATAATTATTAAGCTTTTAGTATTATAATAGTATAAGGGTTGTATTTTTAACTTTTAAAACACTAGGGTTTAGAATTTAACATTTTAAAATTAAAATATTTTAATCAAATTTTAAATTCCAAAACTTGAGGGTAAGTTTGAACTTTTCAAAACTTTCTAGATCAAATTTAAAACAATTAAAATAATCAAATAAATTTATCATTATCTAAATTTCACCTAATCCAATTTTATTTGGCAAGATAACTACAATTCAAAATTTACAAATAATTAGTTTATCTTATAATCTAGTAATTATCTTAAAATTTAACCGTTATCTTCAAATTAGATTAAGATATCCATTACCATAATAGAAAATTCGGATTTTGATAGTAACAATAGTTTATGGTAATTATCCAAATCTAATTTAGGCTTAAATTCCGAAAATCCTGTAATCAGACGAGTCAACTCGTCGAGTCCAAATATTGACTCGTCGAGTCCCAATATGGACTCGTCGAGCTCATCTGTCAGATGCAAAAAAAATGATTATCTTCAGCTTTGAACAATTAACCAATGCAACGAATACAACATAAAAATAGCCTAAGCTTTGATACCACTGATGAGTTTTGAGCACTACAACATTCTATGGTATACATGCAACCCTTATGCTTCGGATCTATGTTTTCTCAAGTTATACATGCAAATCAAATTATCCAAAGCATGAACCCTAACTAGCATATAATTTTCAGAATATGTAACAAAAAACAAAGTTATAAGAATATCTTTTTCTTGTAGCTTGTAGATCTTAACCTTCAAGAGCCTAGTGCCTTAGATGTTGCACCTCAAATGGATCACAAACACCAAGTAGCAAGTTGGAAGAATATAAGAGAGGTTGGGAGGCCCAAATTCGACTAGGGTATTCTCTAGGAAAGCAAGTGGCCGATTTTGTGGTCCAGAGGGTTCCTTATATAGCTGAGGTTCTAGGGTTTCAGGTAAAACCCTAATGCAACTGCTTAAGCCTTAAGCAGCCTAGCAGATCCTTCCAGAAGCTATCATATGGACAAAATCTATGTGGGCTATACATAGGATTTCGTTCATCCCTTCTTAGTGATCAATAAGTCCAACTTTGCAACTATCAGATAATTGTAATACCAATTTCCTTAATTTAATTAATCTCTTTTGATCACCAAATTAATTCCAAATTAATTTCTGATCAATACTAATTAAATAATATGATTTCTCAATTAATATCTATTCTTATAATATATTAATAAATCATAATTAACCTCTTTCTTCATTATTTATCCAGTCAAGTTGTTATGGTGAAGGCAGCCCAAAAGGACTATGCTACTATCGAGTTAAGTACATACGAATTATAGTTATGGGCTGATACACCTAATCCAACACTTAAGAGTTGCATCCTTGATCCCTTATTGTCAAATGAGTTCCTTTTCTTTTCCTGCCATTTGTGCTCTATTTTGTTGAGCCTTTAGTCTCACTTCAGCAACTAATTGGTTAATTGACTCTAATTTCTCTTTTCTCCTTTTCTCAAACTCATTGGTGAGTCTAGAATTTCATGAATGATAGGAGAATGACTTGATCTGGACTTGTCTACCTTTTCCCCATCTGGTTTAGGTGACCTGTCATTTGAACCAGATAATTTTGTTAGGATCAAGTTGAGCTTGGAATCAGACGAGGCAACTTTTCTCTAAAGTTCACGTATATCAGAAGACGAGGCAACTTTTTTCTGAACAATTTTCTAAAGAGAAGAGATATCACCCGAGTAGTCATGGTCTTTCTGAGAATTGGATTTGGAGAGATTTGCAATGTCAGATCGCAATGAATCCAATTGACGTTGAATTTGCTAACTAAATGCTTGAAAGGGAGAGGTGGAAGATGATGTTGAAGCTTTAGAGAGTTCTGCAACTAACTTCTCAAGAGCGGAAATGTATCGGTCTTGAGCAGTGATATGACTCTGCAGATGATCAAATTTAGCTTCATAGACGGAATCTAGATTCGATAAAGACCAAAGAAAATCACCGATCTTTTGATACATCGGAGGAGATGTGGACTCATCTAAATCTGCTCCAAGATTATTTTCAGATACGTTTGGAGATGGGATAGAAGGCGGTTGAGCAATCTTGGATGTTCGAAATAAATTGGTAACAAGTATATTTGGTATATACTAATACCAATAACGTACCAATAAATAAACTCAATAAAATACCAATTCCACGCCTAAGGAGAAACTCAACCCTCTAAATTGCTCATTTAAACTTACCTGTAGCTTATTACGGGGCTAAATCATAGAGTACTATTTTGGATGTTCCCTTTTTGAAACCTAAACTTCCTTTATCGAAAATATCTAAGTTACCCCTTTATTTTCATTTACTCCCTTGGTTCATACTCATTTGTATCTAGTTCTTTTTAGTCCTATAGTTTCAAATAATAACAACATATTTTTCCTTTTACCCTTTTGTATGAAATTTACAAATGTATTCAAATTCATCATTCCAATAACTTTGTTTATCCCACATATGTGTGTTGTTAAATAAAACCAGTATCCATTCCTCCCTATGATCCCAATTCGCCAAAAGTCATGTCTAGACATTATACTTTGTAAAAATGAGCATATATATATCTTGTCATTTGAATTTGACCTATTGGTTGTATAATACAATTCAATATAAGGTATATGTATCTGCATGGAGGCAGTAACATAAAACAAACTAAAATACAAAATATATAAACATGGAAAAAGAAAAAGGAATAAAAAATCATGTAACACTCAAGCATCAGGCATATTTTCTTCGGTTGTTTGTTTATTCATTCGACTTCTTAGTTCTTCAAACGCCTTCATACTCTCTGAATCAAACCCTCCTGCAAACTGTAAAAACACAATAATTTTAGCAACACATATTATAAAAAGTATTAAAAAAAAAAATGATCGATTCTCAAATTTATTTTACCTGATGAACACGAAAAGCAAATCGCACACCCTGAAGCACCAAAAACTCTCTGTTTGGTTCTTTCTCGGGTCCATCCAACGCATCAAGTTCCGATGCAACCCGCTTCATGTATTTTCTAGCCAATTGCACAGATGAAAGCTTGATCTGCAAAAAAAAATGTTTTTTATTGTTTATTTTATTTTAAAAAAAAAAAAAGTTTTATTGAATTATAGTATTAATGTATTATACTAACAAACAAAAACAATACCTTGCCTACAACTCCGGAATCTTGTAACCAATTGATTGGAATACCGAATTCTTTATATCTCGACATAGCCATGTCTCTTGTCCTTAGTAATGCATAAACACTGTTCTCCACTCTAAAAAAAAAATGGATATTTTATAAAGAGTAGTTATGGTGATTATATGAAATTAAATGTTGATGTTAATAATGAAAAATGAAAAAGTGTTGAAACATACTTTTCTAGCAACTTGTACATTTTTTTCAAAGCGGGTTCACATGGGACACTTGGATCATCGACAAAATTAGAGACTTGTTTTTCGAGTTTCATTAGATCTTGATATTCAAAGGCTGCTTCTCTAAATGCGTCTGCTTTTCCTTCTGGCCAATCAAAATGCTTCAAGACTGCCCGTTCATCAACCTGAAAAGCAAATAGATAATTTTGAGTAAATTACATTTTTGGTCCCTGCATATAGCTTAATGTTTTAATTTTAGTCTCAAGAAGTTTTTTTTCCAAATTTGGTCCCTTTTTTACTTTTTTGGTGTGTTTCAAGTAAAAAAACAAAAACTTCTTGGACCAAAATATAAATTACTTTTAATAATTATGTAACGAATCTTGAAAAACATACCAAAAATGAGAGTTCTTCATCAAGCCAGTTCACGAAAGTCACCAAATCTTCTATATCTGTGAAAGAAGCAGCTCGGACTTCAGATGCAAGTGACTCGACAAAATCACCTTGAGTTTCCACGTCAGCTTTTACCTGAAAACAACGACAGTGTCGATTAGTAAATATTTAAGCATAAACATTAGATTTAATGGGAGATTAGAATCTTGAAACGTACAGCTAACAAGAAAGTTGACCGGTTTTCAATCTCTCCGATCATGTTACTTCTTGCATCCGCTGTGTTTGATGCAGATGAAGATATGATTGACGTATCTTTTTTGGCTTCACGTTTCATCAAACTTTGGTAAAATTCAACCAACTCTGGAGCTCTGTGAACTTTATCACCGCCACCGGCTCCTCTAGCTAGGGTTCCCGGTGGAGGAGGTGGGCGGGGTGGGCCGCCAGGTGGTGGCGGTAGTGGGGGAGCACCTGGTGGAGGAGGTGGAGGCGGAGGACCACCACCTGCAGATACTGGATTAGCGGTTGTTGCAGGAGCGGCTCCGGTGCGTTTCGGAGGAGGACGTGGAGTTCTAGGCGGTCTCTTTTCAATATCGGCAAATTGAATCTTACTGACAGGTGGCATGCTCGTTGACTTTCCATCGGTTGACTGATCGCCGGAAATGACATCAGCAGAAGGAGAAATCACTGCTCTCTCTTTCACTTGAGCAAGTTTTGGCGGCAAACTCACTGATTTAGTGTAACTCGGTGGCTTGAAACTTGTAGTACTATCACCAAACCTAGCAGCTCTCGCTTGATCGGCTTTTTCCTTGATTTTCTTCTCGCGTTCTAATGCAAGCTTATGTCGATCTTTATACGCCGGATACTTCTCATCCAAAACGCCTTCAACCGATTTCGACATCAAATGAAACGATGATGCAACATTATTTGGGGTTTCTGGAGAATTAGCGGAATCCTGATCAGCTACACCGAAAGTAGTAATCGCGACTGATTCACCTGCGTTTCGTAACATCAAAGCTTCTAACGGACCTCTCGGTTTCTGACTAACGCTAACCCTAGGAGATCCACCGGTAAACGACCTTGCAGGTGAAGTAAGAGCGCTGGAATAATTCGAATCATCTTTCGATTTCCCCCATTTTTTAAGTTTTTGGATCAAACTTGGCTTTTTACTGAAACTGCTGTATCGACTCATGGAACTATCAATGGAAGCCGTATCGAAATCTTCGGATCCTGGAGAAGATGGTTGAGAGAAGTTGCTTTCCAGATCTGTGTCGCCTCCTTGCCCGCGTTCTGATCCTGCGTACTCTAACATTAACTGTTTGGCTTTTTCTTGCGATCTAGGGCTTAAATTTTTGTTGAGATCGCGAGCTGAAGTTTTTCCTGAAGGTGTTTCGTAGTTTCGAAGCTCGAATCGCAAACATGCGTTAACCCAACGGAGGTACACGAGTTCTTCAACTTCACTGAATCTGTTCATCTGGAGTCCTTCGACTTGCTTTAACAGATCTTCATTTGTGTGTGCTAATTTGTTCACCTCCTCTTTCACCCTCGCCACCATTTCTGTCTGTAGCAGTAGCACCATGGGAATTACATTACTGAAAAGGCATTATGACATTCAACAAATTGACAATGTTTGTAATTTTTTCTTCTTATTATCATTTTTTTTAAATAAAAAAATAAGAAGAAGAAGAAAATTACACTTTTCATCCCTAAATGTATATGAATTTTACAATTTTGATCCTAAAATAATTATCCTTTAATTTTGAATCTTTTTTACCTCGGTTGTGCTTGAAAGCACTGCGACTCTGGATTCAGCTGCATCCAGTTTAACAACCAATTGTCTTTTTTCATGTTGAAGCTCTCTGTTCTTCCTTTTAAGCTCAACAACTTCCACTTCTAATTCCTTCAAGCTTTTCAACTTTCTCTCAATATCAGTATCCTTCTTGAATGCATCTTGTTCTTTCGTTTGAAGAATCCCAACTTGTTGTTTCAATAACAACAATTGCCCTTTCGTTTGATTCGCCTCGAGTTGAAACTGCCTTTGAAGCTCCTTGATTTTATTCCTGGCTGCATCTAATTCCTTTTTATAATTAGCTCCATTAACGACTTCTTCTTGAAGCTTTTTTCTCTCGGTTTGCAACGATTTGACTGTAATGTTCAACATATCGATCTCCACTGTTTTGATTTTTAATTGTCTTTGTAATTCGACGATATCGGATTCCTGTTCCTTTAATCCGTAGTATTCGAGAAGTTCGCCTTCGAGTTTGACTTCTCGTTCTTCAAGCTCTTTGACTAAGTTCCGTAATTGTTCGAGTTCGTTTGCGTTGTTCGCCATTTCGATTTCGTATACACGCTCTTTCTCGGCTGTCGGAAACGGAATATCAATCTCGCCGGATAACAGATCTTCGAATTCAGGTAAGATGTCATCTTCAAAATCTGGAGTGTTTGATTGTGCATTGATTAAACCGCTAATTAGTTTAACCTCTTCTTTTTCCTCTTCCTCTTCATTCTGTACAAACAAAAACCCTAGGAACAGTCACGAATACTGAAATTGGAATACGAAATTAAGAATAACCTCTGCAATAACACAAACCGTAATTTGTTTTTTATCTTCTTCTTCTTTTTTATTTTGTCCAGAAGTAGATTCATCGTTTCCTGAGCTCCAATTTCACCATTAGAGGCATTGAACAACATCAGAATCAATACAAAGCCATAGAAATTAGAAAAAAAACAAAAAGAAAAATCGCCTCTTTTAATAAAAAGAAACGAATTATGGAATTACCTGTTGACTGAGGACGTTTAACGTTGACCTGCTTAACTGCATAAGCTGCAATTGAAGCAGCAACAATGAACCCTAACCTGACAATCATGTAGGTGTCGTGAATATGAAATCACAAGATTGCCACTCATCTATTATAGATTATATCCCATGAAAATCCGATTTCAACCAGCATCCCACGACTCCATGGTCAACCATTCGCTCAAGTGGAAAACAGAAAACACAGAATCTGTGAAGAAGACTTAGAATTAGAAGAAATATTAGTTATAATGAATTGGCAAATTTTGAGTATCAATATCGAACTAGAAACATGGAAGTATTGAAGTTTATGACAGGTAGAATCTCATCACATTTGTGAATACTAGGAGCTACACCCACCACAGATATCTAGTGGCCAAATTTTGTCTCGAAAGGATTGACATTCTTTGAAACCCATGAATTTTACAGATAGAAAACGACATCAGTGATTGTAAATTCAGATTAATATCCAGCTATCTTGCGAATATATATTTCAGGAAATTAGTTAAGAATTTAAGTGAGAACATACTTTTGTCCACTCATATTCTATAGCTCATGAACCTTCTTTTTCGTTGGGTACAATTAATGCTGTTATCTTGATAATCCAAGTTTCAAAAACACCCACAAACAATAGTCGAAATCAAAATCAAAAATCAAATTATATTTTAATTTTTGTTTTTACCACAAAAGGAAAATATAGATTTAAGAGTAAGGACTTAAATGGAGGAGGTGGGCCATGTTTACAAGACAAGTGCACAAATATGGTTTATTTCATTGTTGTATTTAATGGAAAGATGGAAAAGGTAGGTTAAGAAAAGAAAGGTAGAGATTGGCTTTGCTTTAATGGATTGATGCATATGGCGTATGTTAACCAAAGCCCATGAAAAAAGAGAGTAAAACAAAACCTTATCCCTGGCTTTTTTATAAAACAGGCGTTTGTGCCCGCAAATTGTCCCCTTTTTGGATCTTTCTGCGAATGAGCAAATAGCATATTAGGTGGGATTAATGACTTGGATAATATCTATACTTTATGCACTCAATTTTTTATAGAAAACGTTTTTTCTTATCGGTTATTACAAGTTTAACCGATTTTTAGGTATGAATTGGCGCTTTCGGCTACATCTCCGGCTACCAAAGAACCTTTGGCGAATCTCTGGTCATCATCTTCGATCAACATCAATTTTCCGGTGACCCTTGCCCGTTTATAGATTCTTGATTTCTAAAGTTTTTGAAAGTTTTTGGGGACCTTGACCAAGTCAATAACAAGTCTCTTGAAAAAATTTATGTTGAACTGAGAAAATGATAAGGGACTCTTTGAGGTGCTAAAGTCGTTGGAGATGGTGTCTAAGATGTCAACTTAGACCAAAACCGATTAGAATAGTTGGTGATAATGGTGTGTTTTAAAAAAAATATATATATGACCAAATGTGTATATAGAATATAGTTGGTTATCCTCTCAGATCATTTGAATATGGTGATAAACAATGTTAGAGCTTAAATTTATTTAAAAAATATAGTCGGTTATCCTCTCAGAGCATTTGTATATGATGATAGACAAAGTTAGATCTTTTAAAGTGGTATGTTATTGGGATAATCACAAAATATCAAAATTGTAGGGGTGTACATCAAACTACATAAACCGCCCGCATCGCACAACACCGCACCGCATAATGCAATTTAGAACTTTTACGGTGCAGTTTGCAGTTTTCAATTTCAAAGTCACGGTTTAAACCACACCGCATATATATATATATATATATATATATATATATATATATATATATATATATATATATATATGATGAAGGATTAATAAAATAGTAATAATTCTCTGATTACAACTTTGTAATAGTTAGAATGTTGGTATGGATAAAAATGAATATGTTAATTAGTCTAAAACTAGTGAATATAGTAATACAATAAGAATTAAATTAACAAACATATTATAGAAAGCAACTTGTTTTTGAATTTTTGGCAAAACATTTCTAGTTTTTAGTTTTATATCTCAAAAGATCAAAAGGTTTTTTAGATTTTTCAAAAATTATAAAATGTAGCAACTCATCAAACTGCAAAACCGCACTTAAACCACACAAATCACCTGCATAAAACCGCACCGCATAACGCGGTTTGAAACATCTACGGTACGGTTTGAGGTTTCAAAAAAACTCAAACCGTATATACGGTGCGGTTTGTGGTTTTAACTTTAAATTGCACCAAACCGCACCACGCACATCCCTACAAAATTGTATGGTTCAGTTAACAAAATTACCATTTTTTTACTCTTTATCCAAAATGATTACCAATTTCATAATTGGTCTTGTGAATTAGAAAATTCCTTGTTTAATGGTTCCCACAAAAAAATAAAAAATTAAAAAAGAATCTTCACAAAACCTTTATGAATATAAATCATATTTTTTTAATATACTTTTCTAATATACGGTCTATTTCACGATCTATGTTCGTATCTGACAATATATATATTTTTAATTCTAAGTTTTTGTAAAGACTATTTAAATTCACAATTCACAACGTACAAAGAAAAGCATTGTGAAATTGATGATCATATTATGTAAAGCGTCAAAAGCTTATCATCATGTAAGGGTGAACATGGTATAGTATCCCTGTCTTTTTTTTTCTCAATGTAGTACGAAATATATTTGGTACACAATTTAGCTCTTATTGTCGTATCAACTATAGTTGGTACGAACTTATTTGGTTGATGTTTAATGGTAATTCTTTACACACACAGAGAGAAGTTGAAGACAAAATATAAGATATTGGCTATAATGACAATCTTGCTAAATGATCCAAAACTTTCCCAATATTTAATAAACTTGGATTTCATAAAAGTTGCAACATTCTTCGAAATAAGATCTACTATAAGCATTGTGTGTGTATTAAAAATGAATTGGTTTGTATGAAGTGGTCTAGAACAAAACTACGTGATTCACTATTTAAATGAAACCGATAAACAACCATATGCTTTAGAAATCTTGATTTTTATATATAATTTTTTGCCAAAAGCATTAAGGTATGTTTTCTAAAATATTTTAGGTAGGTTTTAATTATTTTATGTAACACTCGTTTCCAAGATTGTGAATTTGTCAATTCGAGGAATTCAAGTTAGAAGGTTTTGGGGAAAAACCTTTAGTTGCGGCGCGAGTATTGAAGTATAGCGTCGTAAACCACGTCATAAGTCACGACGCGACCAAGGTGAGGGTCGCAACGTGGAGCCGCATCCAACCTAAACCCCAATCTCGGGCCTTAAGCCCTATATAATGACACTAACTTCTAGGGTTTCCCCTGTTGCTCAGTCTCCAACCCCAAAAACCCTTCACCTCCAAAAACCTAGCCTCTTTTGTCTTCTCACCTTGTATTTGGTGCCTTAGAGAGAGATTGAAGAGTTGATTGTTATTTTATGTCAAGAGAAGCAAACTTCAAAGATTTTCTACCTTCTTGTGTCCTCCCCAAGCTCTGTAAGTAGACCTGGCAATGGAGCGGATTTGGAGCACATCGACCTTGATCCAAACCTATTAAGCAATTTTCAAATGTTGATCCAAACCCGACACGTAACCCGTAGCAATTTTCAAATGTTGATCCAAACCCGACACGTAACTCGTAGGGTTTGAATAATTAAACTTATACCCTTATCCACCAAATAAACAAATTTTCAACCCTTTTACCCGACCTATTTACAATATTAAGATTACGCTATAATTATGCATTATAACACATATAACGTAAATCACTATTCACTTTATAGCTTAATGAATAATGTTTCCAAAACAAAACAAATGTCTACTATTTCAAACATGCATGATATAATGACACACAATTAGAGTAGATATCAATAACACATGATTTCAGTAAGGCATGATTTCAATAAGTCCCTTGATTTTAAGTTGCGATTTTGGCACAATAATACATGATTTCAGTAACCAGTAAGGCAGCAACAAATGATTTTAACAGGTCACAATTTCAATAAGTTGATTTCAATAACACACTATTGTTAGTGTATCTCATATCGGTGCGACACGGTAATATAAGTGGCTACATATGTTGGAGTCCCCCTTCTCTCCACAAGGGCTCCTTGGGAAAGTTAATATAAGGATCCACGCATATATTTACATGGTATCATAGTCGATGTCTTGCACCCGCATGGTTCAGCACATCCCTATTTATCCTCATCGAGCCTCCGATTCTGAGGGGAGTCTTAGTGTATCTCACATCGATGCAACACAATCTTATAAGTAGTAATATATGTTGTAGTTCCCCTTCTCTCCACAAGGTCTCTTTTAGAGAGACAATCTTGTGTTCCATATATATTTACAATTGTTGGAGTAGAGAAGATATTAATCGATTATATTAGAATTTTATAAAACAAACTTGAATGTGGAATGTCGATTGTAGAAAACCCTTCTATGAAACGAGAGAGATTGAATCATTTTCTTTTTGTTCTTGGCTGTCAACTATGTCTACAATTCTAATTTTACATATTTATTTGTATTGGAAGTCGAGTGGAATGTCATTAGGAACTAGGAAGTGGAAGTGGAAAGATCAAACTCCTAGACTCCTGTACAGAACATTGTTTTGGTGATAAATGTATAACTTAGAAATAGTAAATTTATATTTTAAAATTCTAGATGGTGCGGGTCATAAACGGATTGGATCGATAGTGATCCATACCCGACCATTTTAATAAAAGGGTTAATGGGTTGTGGGTTGTTAATGGGTAAACGAATCATAAAATATGATCCAACCCCCTTAACTTTGCACGGGTTTGGAGTGGATCGGGGTTAAAACCTTCTTCGTTGCCATGTCTATTTGTAAGTGATCAAGTCGTATGCTTTTTGGATGATTGATGATAGATTTAGTATTTTTGTTGGTTTTTTGTCCTTTTTTTCATGATTTTATGGAGTTTGGAGAACTCCATGTCTAAAGATTGTTTTGCTTGATGTTCTAGACTATTTGTAGTGTTTTGAAGGCATTTTGGACTTCCCTTTTGACCCATGCAAGAAACTGTTAGCTTTTGGACCATTTTAACCTAGGGTTTGAGTTATAACTTGTTTGAGACTTATGATTGGATAAAGTTGGAAACTTTACACATAAAAACCCTTATTTAGATCAGATCTGAGAATGATAGCCTATGACTTGTTGAATTAAGCACTTAATGGAATTAGTACTCTGTCGTGTAAAGTGCGATGTGATAAAGTATGGGTCGCGACGTGAGCCTTGATCCAGATCTGCAGCTATTTTGTCGCCTAGTGGTAGCAACGGGATCCGCATGGATGGTCATGGTGTGTTGACCTATTTAACTGTTGACTTTGGCTTAACCATTGACCCATTTGACTTTTGGTCAAACTTTGAAGGATATGAGTTTTAGACTGAGGATCAATCTCTAGTTAATATCCAGATTCG